TGCCTACATAATTTAAATATCAGATAGTGCAATGAGAAGTAGGTACACGCTATTTGTCTAACGGGAAGCATCCGCATGCAGGAGGAGAGCAATCTAGGATTTTGCCATCGAATGCGTTTATGTGTTGTACGTAATTGCCAATTATTTTACAATTTACTTTCCGAGACAAAGCTAAATTGGAATATAATGGCGCAAGAAAGGACTATAAAATGAGGTAACTCAGACCTTGGCTGTTAGGTATTCCGACTATTATTGTTTTTACACCTATCTAAGGTTTTTCTGAAATTTATATGTTTATTTGGCTCTAAAAAGTGAGTGCTTCGTTTTATGTGCTTGTATGTTTTATATCTTACTAATTGGTGCATGAGGAAATGCAGTCATATTTTACACAGCGTGAGATCTTGGAGCTTTTTGAAATTGTAATGTAACGAGTTTTCAATTTTTCTGGGATAAACTCGTAGCTTCAGTTCTGGCTGTAGAGTGAAATATTGACATGAATTAAATTGTGCTAGTTTTCTTATAATACTTTTCGATGGAAGTGTTTATGAGCGGCAATCCCTGTACTTGGAGACACGCAGAGGCTGGGCAGGCCGCGTACAAAAACCTCTATCGCAATCGCGTTACATTTCATACCCACAAGGAATAAAATAGCTAAGTAGGTACAAGGTACCCAAAATGTGCATTTCGAAAAGTTGACCACTGATGCAGCCTGGGGATCGAAAAGGTCAGAGCCCACTCTTGGTTGCGGAAAAATGAAATCGTTTCTTATAAACGTAGTAATCAAAGAGACATCACTTTTGGACATTTACTTCTTGAAATGATTGTGAAAATCGGCTCCCTACTTGAAATTTTAACCTTCTTGATTCTCTTTTTTGAGCAATCTCAGATCAATTTGGAATTAACCACATCAAACCCACCTCAAGAGATTCCAAAATCTAATCAAAATCCAAATTCTTCTCCCACACCCCAATATAACTCCCGACGAGCATTTAATCCTTTCGAGGAATTTAAATTTCGCTGTTGAATCATTCATCCATCACTCTTCCCAGAGAAATTATCGATCCCACTCGAGAGAGATTGCCTATCCCATTCGTCCAGAAATGGCTAAGAAACGGTTGAATTTGTCTAAAGCCCTTAGAAATCCCTGTACGTTAACGAGGATACCTACATCGTCACTCTTCTGAATCCGACATCCAAACTCAAACGAGTGATCTCGACTACTATCAGGTCTTCTGCGCTCCCCAAGGATGTCCAACGTCGCCTCATCCCTATAGCGACTCCAAACCGCCGAGGTTGTACGGTCTTCCTAAATTCATAGCTAGCACCCTAAACTCGCCCACCTACAAGCTCGCCAATTACTTGAAGGATTTCAGAGGTCGCACGTCATCTTGCATTCTGAACTCCAGTCATTTCATTTAATGAATCTCCGATATTCGCTTGGACCCCCAAGATTTTCCAATCAGCCTCAATGTTACGTCCCTATTTACCAAGCTTCCCATCATGGATTCTCTCATCATCATTGAGCAGATTCTAAAGGATAACAACCAAGACGCCAGTTTAGTCGACGTAAATTAGATTTATTGAGATTTATAAAGTGTTAAAAATTTGACTACGGACTCTTTACAGACATGGGAAATTATGAGAAGTAGGGGAAAGTCGAAGAGGAATAAATATACATAAATGACGAGAATCTTCGAGGAAGGTGCAAGGAGAGATCAGAGACGTGGCGGAAAAGGAAAGCAAGGCGAGAAAGTGCAGGAACTACACACGACAGAAGTGAAACTTCCCTATTTTGAAATGTAAACGAATCTCAGTAGACTGCCGCCAATCCTAGGAGGCCGTGGTTGAACATCCACCGTTTCACTGGTTTCGTGACCGTTGGCGCTCGTAGGATTCGACTTACCCTACTACTGGGCCTATAGAAGTTAGGCTTCAAAAAAGAAACGCGAGAGGGGTTAGGATGAGAAGGGAGCGGAAGTGAGAAAGAGACGGAAGTGGAGGATAGAGCAAAAGAAAAAGGGGAGCAAAGGGTAAAGAAGACATGAAGATTTCCTTGAATATGGCGCGGGTAGCACGCAAGGAATAAGAACATTTTTGAGATTTTGTAAGAGAATGTGAAGTAGTGAGATGCGATAGAAGGAAGAATTGGAAAAAATGCCCAAAAAATTCACATAGACGAAACGATTCACAAAAGAAAGGGATAAAAAAGTGATTAGGAATAGGGGGAAGAATCAGATGAGGAAAAGGACATGCGGAAGAGAAGGGTGGAGGTAAAGAGAGATAACGATTTAACATCGAGAACGTATGAAAATTCTAGGAACAGGAAACAAAGCAGCATGTGCATCAATGGCGAAAGGAACACAAGAAAGAACATAAAGAATGCAATAGAAAGAGAACTGCTATTAGAACTGACAGAAACGGAGGGAAGCATAATTAATAAACATAGAGGGAGACAGCGAGGGACAATTTATACATACAATGACATGGCGCATGAGACAGATCGGTACAGTTTGCATGATAGTATTGGAAGAGGTATGGAAAAAATAGAAAGATCTGTGGTAGAAACAGAGAGGGAATCGGATCACAACCCGGTGCACATAATTTTATGAAAGACTTTCACGATAAAAAAACGAAGAGAAGCATTGATATGCATAGAAGAAAGTGTGAAGATTTACAGAAGAAGGCTCAAAGACTTGAAAGAAGAAGAGTGTGAGTGAGAACATAGGAGAAGAGTGAAAAAAATGAAGCAGAATATTAAAAATGCATCATGGAAACAGGTAAAAAGCGATGGGGAAGGAAAACAAAAAAGTGATCGAACGGAAATGAAAAATACAGGGTGTTACATATAACATAATGTAAAAAAATTCGATTTCGACGCAATTTGGTATCTGTGGTTTTTGAACATGAAAGTCACGAATCTGAAATTAGTTTTTGAAAATTCAAAAAAAAAATTCCACTGCAATTCTTAGCCGGACAACGAAAATGAAGAGAATTCCACGAAATTTGTCCCTCGCCACTAATAAGTCATCTAATTTGGTATGTAGTAGATAAATTACCTGCAAATAATAAAAAATTAACGATTTAAGTCGATATTATGATACTTAGAATAATGCTTATTGATTTCGTCGAAATCAGAATTTTTTCCGCTCCCCCGTTGAGGGGTGCGACCTTTCGTGGTAAGAATTTAGAAAACATTTTTGCAAAATCAGAAAGGGCATAGGATATACGATTCAAATAAGACCAAGGAGACGAGAAAACTAATAAATAAGACATGGAAAAGAGGAAGACTATCAGAACAGTGGAAGGAAGGGATAATGTGAACGGTTCACAAAAAAGGTGATAAAGATCAGAAAGGAGAATTACGATTATGACTACAGCGTATAGATTATACTCGTACGCACTGGTGCTAAATGAAGGATTGGAAAGGAAATGGAAGAGAAGGGGCTGCTAGAAGAAGACATTGGATTTAGAAGAAGGAGAGGAACGATGGACATAAGTAGTACAAGAACTGCTGGGAAAAGGCGGGAAAAGAACATTTGACAAAAAATTAGGGAACAAACTAAAGGATTTACAGGAAAAGACAAAATGTAGAGTAAGAGTAGGTGTTTTATACATATAACTTAGGCAGGGGTGTCCACTCACTCCAACAGTATTTAGCATACATACAAAAGACGTACAGAAAATTTTACGACAGAATCAAAGTTGAGGAACGAAGATTTAGGGATGGAAAGAATGAGAGGAGCTGCAAGAAAGACAAATATGTGGAGATTTAAAATACTGCAGAGTACCTAGAGCATATAGAGCATCTGATATGGGAATGTAGAAAGGTAGAATAGGCAATATTAAACGAAGAAGAGGAGGAGAACGCCAACAGAGGGGAACAAGCCATGAGGGGATACGAGTAAAGAGACCATAGTAAGGAATAGAACGGGGGAAGGAATATTTACGTTAGAAGAGGGTATTTTTTGCTTTAATATTTTTTTATATTTGGTATGAGCGATATTCTGATATTTTTATGTTTTGCCGAAAAGCGTCAAATAAATAATATTAATAAAAAAAATAGTTAAAAAACCATTACAAATCTGCTGAAACAGCGGGATTCAAAAGTTTTTTAGTGAATTCTATCATATTTACGGACGTCTCGTTTTGTTCATACAAGATAATTAGTTAATAATTTTTGATATAATAGAGAACGAGGGATGTGTACACAGCCAAGATTATCGCGCCCTGATGGACAAACAACACTGTTTGATAGCGACTTTCCGTTTTCTTATCCTCAATTAGAATAGAAATAGCAGGTCACAAACCAACTTAAAATCGTGCAATGTAATACTTAGTACAAAAATTAGTAGCGAATATTTTAAACCCATGACAATGTGGTTAATAAATTATACTACTAGAATTTAACCTCCCTACGTTTACCGTTGCTGTTGATCTTCATCTTGGACACAGTGTTTACGGCTTGATGTAAATAACATTACGAAGTCAAATGAAACCGATTTGTTTATTTAAACTCACTTTCAAGGCGGAAAGAATTTTCTCTTCGCTTAGGGCGGATTTATTCTCTATCCGTTCGATTACGTACCATGTAAATGATCCGTGGAAATGATTTTGAACACAATTTCTGCATAACAATTTTAGTATAGCAGGAATTTTGTCGGTTTAGTTTAATTGCATTTTTTCATCATGACGTGGAAAGTTGTATGTGGAAATACTTAATTACAGTCAGTTGTGGTATGTCTTTCGCCGATAGTTCAACTTGCAGTGTCGAATTGTTTTAGATACAAATGTAAGAAATGATCGCAGATTAAAATGTTACTTTCAACAAAACGCTAAAATTTGCAGTTAGTGAGCACACAAGTTACAGTTAGCTGTTATTAATTAACTAGTAAATTAGATTTCTTCATTGAAAACGTATCGCCAGTCAAGTAGCGAACAACCTCGACTAATTATTAAATTAAGTTGTAACACTTTAATAGTGATGTAATTATTGATTTCAGATTAAGAAAAAATTAAACGACAAGAATGTAGTTCACACAACTCCACCACCAATCACCAAAAGATGTTTCCCAACGCAACAGTATCATCAAGAAGTAGTTCGAGTCGTAGCGGTAACAGTTGTAGTCGAAATTCATCGATGCCATCATTACGAATGCCAAATCCATTATTACCTAAGACGTCGTTTAATCCACTCTATCGTAATACGGACGCGTTTACCAGTTTCGACGCGTCAAACTTCGCGTTTCATGAAAACAAGAGGCTCAAGAAAGAAAAGCAACCTATTTTAAGACGGTTTAACTCGCACGATTCGCACACGAATTTGATTGATGTCAGGGTGGAATCGAATACGTCAAATTCGAATAAAAGTCGTACGGAAGATTCGTTGCCTACCCCAAGTGTAAGTCCGAATTCGACAGAAGAACGGAATAGGCGTCCACAGTATGAGGCTAGAGACTTTTTAGAAAAATACTCGTTACCCAGAATTGTTAGAGTGGAGGATGGTGAACCCCTTTTGCTTTATCGGTGTTTCGATAGTTTCACGAAGGTGCAAGCCCGAGGTGTCTCCAGCAAAAAGGGAAAGGAAAAGGCAGATTTAAATACGTTGCATTTTCCCGAAGGCTATCCTGGTAAGTCGATTTTAATTTTACAGTTTCCACAAAAATGTACCTTATTCTTGCTACAAGGACGCGTTATTATTAACAGTAGCGGGTAATGTGGGAAAATGTGCAATCGGATATTGCAAAAAACTCTTATTGTTTACGTATTATATTTCCCTTCGGGTTAACGTAGTTATCTGACAAACGGTAGCACTGACAACGTCCACGTAATAAATTCACATAAAACTTTGTGAGAACAGGGTTTTCGAACGTTATGTTATGACACTAGTTCTTACGGAAATCTATTGTAGTTTGAAATACAAAGTGTACTTACCTAACTTTCCCACCGCGCAAAATCTTCAAGCCGCATTGAAATTCAATGACCGAATTGGTGCAATCTCCTTCAACTTCTGTAATGAATGAACTTCTTCCATCTTACCCTCGAGCAACGTTCGCCCACATTTCTTAGGTGTCTGTCTGGTTAATTTAAATTTAAAAAAGAAAAGCATTAGTTAAAAATCCTGGTACTATTATCTAAATTTAATGATTCTGTCAAATGCTCAATCTTTATACATTTTTATTGGCCATTAACATTTTTATAAATGATGCAACATATATTTAAATATCGCGGCTGAATGAAAAGATGCGAAAAGTATTGAAATGTATCTAAATTAATAGTGTTAATTTCTCTTGTTGCAACTTAACAAATAAGAGTGGCGTCTGCCTTGATAATTTTGTTTCGTAATTGGAACATCTACCAATAATAATTATGTAACCAAACTTATGAAATGTGATTGTTATTTTCGAGGTTTAATACTGTTCTTTCCAACACATGTCATTAGTTGCAAGATGTTTCCTAAATGCAATGTTCCAAAAGCACATAAATCACGTGTCACTTTTGTTCTAACAATGCGATTAAAACATTGTGCAGGGTCGGAGCGATGAAGGGCTTTATTAGTTTTAAAATTTGAACAAATTTGATGTTTTAAAATGAATTTGTTTAACAAAAATTTTTTTTTAATTTTTATGTGATTAGTTTACTTGGTAATATAACAAATGGAAATGCAATTGCCTTGATTACGAAAACTGCATTATTAGAAAACTGTTTAGGAGTTTTCTAATAATGCATCGGATGTGATAGATTGAAGTTGTTATTTTCATCTGTCTGCTCGTTATTAGGTCATACCCACCATAGTAAGCATTCAAAAATTAGATAATGAAACATTTATATGGGATACAAAATAAAAAATCAAAGTTACAAAGACGTTCCAACATTACCTACCTACGCTGTAATCAAAATGGAAAAAATAAATAAATAGACACGTGAGAAATAGACAAAATGGATCCTTCCAGCGCTGGTAAACTATTTATAATGCTATTGGGGATGCTTACAAGTTAAAAGACAAGTTACAGTTTGAAAAATGGATCAAACGATCTCTAGAAAAAATACAAAGACAAAATTAATTACTTAACGGCAACGATGGCATAGTACATATATTAATACTCGTAATGAAACTGAAACTCAACAGTCGTGTAGTTTAATTAGGTAAAATTTGTCAAGAGATGATTTGGTCTCATGAAGATCGATTGAAAAGTGGCGAAAACAGTTTTTATACGACGACTAATTAAAAAAGACCTTTGACATTGACACTCGAGCTTAACTTTTCCCATGTAAATCCAATTTTGTGCATTTTAAATCGCAAAGCTAAAGGTTAAATGTTTACATAAACATATTCGACTTGGCTAATTTAAATTTAGAAAAAAACCGATATAGAGTCAAGGTAGAACATTTTTTTTCTTCAAATCGTGAATGGTTTAATCTAAAAGCTTAGATAAATCCGCGAAGGATTTTGTTAGGTACCTGAAAAAACAATTTGATATAAAGCATTAGCAAGATTGAAGTCGTGCCAGATTTGCACTAATTACCTAACACTTAACCTCGATCGACAGATTAGCTTTATAATAAAATTCAGCCTCCCACAAGAACACGAAAAACGGTTTTCGGCACATTCTCATTTAGTACATTCCATAAGCCGTACTCTATGAATATTAAGTGAATGAATGACATAATTATATAGTGTATTAAGGCAAACAAAGAATGTACTAGGATTTATTAATTGATGCTGCCATTGTAAGGTAGGTGGGTGATGATTTGATTAACTGTTTTATTATTCTATTTTTTACGGTAATGGGGACTAGATACTGCTGCTCATATTTTTTCTGCGGGAGCTACTTAACATGCTTTACGTATTGTTAAACGTTCGTGTAAATAAAAGCCATTCAGCTTTGAAGGAGTTTAATTGCTATAATAATTGGTTGTGTGAAAAATTTTTAATATTTCCTTTTTTATTACTACTGTAACAAATGATCTGCCAACATAAAGGCTGGGGCACATTCGTAAGGCCTGTATGTAGTGCTTTTGATAGAGGCTGTTCCATAGGCAATTAAAAAATGAAAACTAAGAGAGGATTTAATATAAGTACAGCATTAACATTGTTCTCGTCAACGTTCCTTTAATTTCCCCTACAGTTGTTCTCGCGGACCTTTCTTAAGTACCGATCGAATTCCCTTCAAATTTCCCTCCAAATTTTGATCTCCAATTCCCCTCAAGACCCTATCAGCTTCTCATCTCTCTCACCATAAACTGCTTTCATGTCGTTCCAAGCTTTCATTTTAGGTTTCGCTCACGTGGTGCTCAAATTCTTCTCTGATTTCTTCTTAGTGTTTCCATAATATTTCTGTAATTTTTTATCAATATCGTTAAAATTCATCGTTCCTCTCATATTTACTTGAACTTGCTCTTCAGTTTTTTTTTTCAATTCCCAGTCGGCGAGCATGGATGGAATTGTTCAGCTGGCGTCTCCATATTTCTTACGTGAATAATAAAAAAAATTTTTAAATTAAGTTCAACTAACCCCCCCCCCTCTGCCAAACGAAATACTATCGATAATTGCACAAATATTCTCATGTAATCGTAATAATTTTACCTTGAATAAACTCAGTCGCTGAAGAGAGCTCTCCCGAAGCGAGTCCGAATCTAGAACAAAACAAGATCCACGATACGCTTTATAACAAAACAGAAGAAAATGAAAGTACCCCAGGCTGGTTAAATGTCTAGTTTAATCCAGTTGCTCGGATTCTTATCTAGTCTCCCAAGTGTCCATTTGGCCGGTGCAATCACGAATGGCTTAAAAATATGGTTGTTATCCCTCTGATAAGAGCGAAACAGGTACTGCGCCCAATTAAGTTGATAATTTCGCACAGGAATACCCTGACAGTCCTTACTCCCTGGAACTGCCATGGTGTTGTTCAGCTGGGCGTACCCGGAGAACCCTCTCTAAAATGACCACATAAAACACCCATCCCAAACGCACCTACCTCTAATTAAACGAGAGGGTGTTGAAACCAAATAATAGCGAGTAAAGATGATTAATTAACGTCAGGTCAACCGTCAGGTATTGCATGTCTAAAAAGTAAAGGCACCAGAAACGATTAGGGCGGATCATTTACGTGTCGATAATCTTATAAATCCGACAAAAGTGGAGATAGCTGCTTCAGCTTGCTTTACTACCGCAATTACAAGCACAACGAAAAACGTCAATTACTAAAGACGCCATTGAATAATTTAAGCAATTAGACCCTTACCATTAGCGACACTTTCGCTTCACCGGCGTGTTGGAAGAAGGAATCTCCTACCTCTTTAGATTTTAAACAAGCAGTTATTCTAATTTTTTGTGCTTTGCCGAAGTTCCATCGGGAGATTAACAACTTTTAAACTTTTATAAATCAGATTTGAGTATTATTCCAACATCTAGATTGTAGGTGCTTATTTAAAGCGTGTACTTAGTCCACGCGTGCGCCATCATTGAATCCTTGAGGAAAACCGCGTCTTTTAGTTGTCCAATGACAAAATTACAATATGCTTAACATCTCCAACCAATTGGGAGCTCTGGAGCGAGTGAGTGTACTAGGGGATGAACGGATGATTTTCCCAATTACACTTACGGCAATATGACATCAAGAATAAATTAGAAGTTCTAACTTGCCTTCTTTTCTAAAATGATCAGTAGGTAGATAGTCCATACAAGATAAAACCACGCCATAATTTAATCCTTGGTATCCCGGTAAAACAATCCACCTAAGTAATTTATTGCATTTCCTAATAAGTACTCTATTAGCACGATATTCTTATCTCAACTGACAGTAATAACTATTAATTTTGTAACTGTATTAACGCTACTTCAAGGTGTCGTTTACAAACGTAAAGGAAATTTCTGCTTGTAGAACAATAGCCTATAATTTTATTTTAACACAAGACAATCATTTGTATTTAGTGACATTTTGTTCAAAACTAGTTTCATCGACCTTGCCTATTACAAATATTCTCATAGTAAATTTAAATTGGACACTATTGTTTTAAAAATAATAGGATGTGAAATATCAAAGACTATTTTCCATACTAGGCTAATGAAACGTCGCAGAATCTTTAAAATTGCGAGATCATCGAAAGTGAATCTAATCTCGAAATGCTCTAAATATTCCCTGCTGGTCAAACTTGCAGGTTCATCGATTTATACAAGAATGTCGGGTTGAGCTATGCATTATGTAAAATAATTTTTTTATCGATTATATTTTACTAAAAAAGGCAGACTAATACAAATAGTTGTAGGCTTAACGTGTTTAAGGAAAAAACAGGATATTACGCCTTCGTCAAGATGCGGTTGTGTAATAGTTGTGAAATCGTTTGGAATCTTAGGCTGCATCAAATTATAATCAATTTCGAATTATTGTGGTTTATACTATTACGAAAAGTAATAAATGCAATAAAAAGCGAATATTGAAATAGATATTAATTTAAAAACCGTTGTTCAATTACTGTTTCTTATAGAAGAATATATATTTAAAAGTATGTTAGAAGTTAACACCTTACTAATGTATCAGTAGGTAATTCTTGTAACGTGCATCAATGTACAACATGTACCAAAATTTCACACAATTTTTTAATAATAAAAATTCCACGCTGACGAATT